CCCCTCTCCCTCCCCCTCTCTCTCTCCCCCTCCTCTCTCCTTCCCCTCCTCTCCCCCTCTCCTTTTTAATGCATTGGCTGCCTTTCATAATGAACACAGCCAACTGGTGCCAAAATTGTCCATCAGCAACAGATCTCTTTCTAGAATAAAGGAAGGTTCCAGGGTAAGAGCGTCACGCTTTATTGATACTTTGTGTTCCAGAACAATGACAAAGTAACATTTCATATATCAGTTACATTAGTTTAGACATCAGTGACAACCCAAGCCTTTGATACTTAGACATGATAGTGAACACATGTCATGCGTTCATCCAATTGGACCTCAAAGTTCTATGGAGACGCTGCTGTTGGTCACTCGCACTCCGTACCAGCCGGCCCATCTCTGCGTGTCCTTCCCGCCATGCTGAAAAGATATATAGCGCACTCCTGGTCCATATTTACTGAATGTATGCGTTATCTAAAAGAAATGGAAAAGAAACGAATTAAGTCTCAAAATAGAATTGAAGGGGCGTTACACTAAGTGGAAGATCTATAAACAATTCAATTTGTCCTGCGAATATGTGTCAACGTTCCTTCTGTGCCAATATATGAATAAAGGAACGTTCTTTAATTTTTTCTTTACAAGTGGAATTGGTTTTGAATGTTCTACTTGTAATATCGCATTATGGCCACTAGATGGCACTGAGGGACATAGAAGATAAATACTTGGTATAGACCTTGTTTTTAAGCCCCGGGCCGTTCACATTAGTGCAATTGGTCCCGCATCTGCGGTCGCTCTGCACTACACAACATTGGAAATCACATTATTCTTAATGGTGCCCGTTCACTTCAATGCAGCATGGAGCAGTGCAATTTGGAAAGGTGCTGGTGCTGCTTTTGATGCTAACAGTGCGTTTTTGACTCCATAGACATGCCTAATGATGTCACAGCAGATATTGCTCGTCATTGGCCAAAAATGACAAATCCATAAACAATGTGCATAGACACGCTTCAAAGATGCACCGAAAAAATGCGTAAACCATGCAGCAGTAGTGATGGGCCGCACACACCTGAGTTCGGTTCGAGTTGGAACTTTAGAACATGGAGAAAGTTGTCGAACTTCGAACTCAATGAAAGTTTATGGGACTAGAATTCAGAAAATCAAATGTCCCTATTTTGAAGCCTTATATGCAAGTTAATGGCCATAAAAGTGTATGGGGGTCCAGGAACTGCCCTGGGGGACATGTATGGGGATCCGGGTACTGACCTGGGGGACATGTATGGGGATCCGGGTACTGCCCTGGGGAACATGTATGGGGGTCCAGGAACTGCCCTGGGGGACATGTATGGGGATCCGGGTACTGCCCTGGGGGACATGTATGGGGATCCGGGTACTGCCCTGGGGGACATGTATGGGGATCCGGGTACTGCCCTGGGGGACATGTATGGGGATCCGGGTACTGCCCTGGGGTACATGTACGGGGGTCCGGGTACTGCCCTGGGGTACATGTACGGGGGTCCGGGTACTGCCCTGGAGGACATGTATAGGGGTCCGGGTACTGCCCTGGGGGACATGTATAGGGGTCCGGGTACTGCCCTGGAGGACATGTACGGGGGTCCGGGTACTGCCCTGGAGGACATGTATAGGGGTCCGGGTGCTGCCCTGGGGGACATGAATCAATGAAAAAAACACTTTTAAAAATACAGTTTTTAAAGGAGCAGTGATTTTAAGATTGCTTAAAGGGAAATAATAAAAATGAAAAAATCCTTCAAACATCGTGCCGGGGGGTCCCCTTCATCTGCCTGTGAAGTGGTGGATCTGTACGATCTGTTGCTGTGCTGCAGCAAAACTGACATTTATAAAGAAGAAAAAAAACCGTGCAGTTCCCCCTCCCAAACAATACCAGACCCTTAAGGTCTGGTAGGAATGTTATGTGGGACCCCCATTTAAAAAAAAAAAAAGTAAAAGCGTGTGAGGTTTCCCCTCAAAGTCATACCAGGCTCTAAGATTTGGTAGAAATTTTAAAGGAGGAACCCCACGCCCAAAAATGGGGGGAAAAACCCGTGGGTTCCCCCCTAAGATTCCTAACCAAACCCTTGATCGGAACACCTGACCTGAGGCCCGGTGCATTGCTTTACCCAAACAGGGCTTCACAAGGCACTGTGCGGTTCGCCGTACACACGAACTACCGATGTTCGAGTCAAACTGTTGTTGGACTCGAACATTGAGACCATCCCTACAGAGCTGTAGCTAGCTCCTTTTGCGCCCGAGGCAAGTACAGAAAATTGTGCCCCTCAACAGACACATGCGGTATGTGATATAATGCGCCCCGCCTCACAGAATGCGCTGGTACCCGAATCCAAAATAGCATACAAATTTGTTTCGTTTTATTAAACTAATGAAAACATTTTTAGTTTCCGTTCATTTCGTCCAAAACAAATTTTTAGTCTTTGCACATGTCTAGTAATGTGTGTGTGTTGGGGGGCTTCGGGATAATATCAGGGGTCTAAACAGACCCCTGACATTTCCCTTTTGAAATAGAAAAAGAGATTGAAGACACAGAATCGTCTGCCCATGCAGGTGGGAGAGAGCAGCAGGGATTCGAGGAGGAGCAGGAGCCTGTGCTGCTCCTCTTCTCCCTGCCGAGCCGCGGCTGTGTTGGCCGCCTTAAGCCGCTGTTTCCAATGGCGCCCTGTGCTCACCATGGCAATAAGTGCAAGTGGGCGAAGCCAGGCCGGCCCTGGCTGCGCCCCCTCTCAGCTGCGTCTGAGGCGAGTGCCTCACTCGCCCCATGGTAGCTACAGCCCTGCATCCCTATGCAGCAGCACTAATGTGATCAAAAATGGTTTTGCCACGGCATAACCTTTGACCTATGTATTATCAATGTTCCAAGCAGCTCTTTTCCATAAAACACCAATATGATAGGATCTGTAAGGAATTACATGTCTCCAGTGGACGTCACTCCCCTCTGGCATAATAATGGGACCCGGGACAAACTCCTGTACGGTTTTCTTGTTTTCAGAAAGTAGTTTGACCGCCAGCTCATACTGGCAGCCGCAGTCCGGCCTGGATTGATACCTGGAGGGGGAAAATAGTAGATATTGGTAGTGATAATGGTAGATAGAGAGTGCAGTAACTCCCAACTTTGAGTAGACGAGAGTTTAAGTGCTTGTGTACATGAAACTTGTCATAGAGAGCTGGAATTATGGCCGATTCCTGCTGAGCTGGCTGAGAATGAAGCCATAGGTGGCCTTGGAAGCTCCACCCAACTTGGCAAAAGTTGATTTAAAAATCGTCTGCGCCGGGGGGGGAATTGTCACCCAACCAGTGACTGTGTCCTATCAGATGCAGTCACTGTTCAGGTATTCAGGTGCTGTGGCTGCGGAATCCAACTTCGCCAGGATCTGCATCTGATCTGATCTGTTTTATATACCCTCTCCCAGGATCCTGTACACAATTCAGTATTTTTAGGCCCCTGCGTAGTACCAACCCTAAGAGGTGGGGAATGACTGCTGCCCTTCTAAGCAATTATATTAGCGTAGAGTTGCCACCTTTTCTTTAAGTGAAACCCGAACACTATAGTGCCGTGCAGCATTTTTTTTTTGGGGGGGGGCAATACAGGAGAGAGCGAGGAGAGTCAGCCAGGCGAGAGAGCGAGGAGAGACAGTCAGGAAAGAGAGTGTGGAGAGACCAGCAGGAGAGAGAATGAGGAGAGACCACTAGGAGAGAGAGTGAGGAGAGAAAGCCAGGAGAGAAAGGCAGAAGAGAGGGGCACGAGAGAGATCGAGGGGCGAAAGCCATGAGAGAAAGGCACGAGAGAGATCGAGGGGAGAAAGCCATGAGAGAAAGCAAGGAGAATGATTGAACAGAGAAACCCAGGAGAGAGAGTGAGAAGAGACACCCGGGATAGAGAGAGGAGAGACAGCCAGGGGAGAGAGCGAGAAGAGACAGCCAGGAGACAGACGGGGAGAGAGCAAGAAGAGACAGCCAGAAGAGAGCTCGGAGAGACAGCCTGGGAAGCGAGTGGGGAGAGACAGCCAGGAGGATGAGAGGAGAGACAGCCAGGGAAGTGAGTGGGGAGAGACAGCCAGGAGGATGAGAGGAGAGACAGCCTGGGAAGTGAGTGGGGAGAGACAGCTGGAGAGACAGCCAGGAGGATGAGAGGAGAGACAGCCTGGGAAGTGAGTGGGGAGAGACAGCTAGGAGGATGAGAGGAGAGACAGCCAGGAGGATGAGAGGAGGGACAGCCAGGAGTGAGTGTGAGGAGAGACAGCCAGGGGAGAGAGAGGGGAGAGACAGCCAGTTGGATGAGCAAGGAGAGACAGCCAGGAGAGAGAGAGGGAGGAGAGAGAGAGGGAGGAGAGACAGCCATGGGAGAGAGAGGGAGGAGAGACAGCCAGGGGAGACAGCCAGAAGGATGAGCGAGGAGAGAGAGAAAGGAGAGATAGCAAGCAACACATCTGTCTAAGGCAGCACCCCTGTGACCTTCAAGACTTATCTGCTCCCCGAGTTCCAGCGTCCCTCCAGGTCCTGTTCCTCTCAATGCACTCAAATTGGAAGACCAGGACCCCATGGTTGCTCCTGTCCACCTAACACTGTGACATCTTGTGTCTGAGTTTCAGCTGGCCTAAAACCCGGACACATCACATACGGGGCTCAAAACCTAGACTGTCCATATGAATCCTGGACAGGTGGCGACTCGATCACAATGTCGCTAAATTTACATTGAGACACTATAGAGCAGATCTTTTTGTCTTTTTCTAATGAGCAATGCGAATGGATTCAGCATAGGTTGCCATGTGACCAATCATTTGGGATCAGAGATCAGGATATGTCGATGATCATGTGACCAATGATTTGGGATCAGAGATCAGATATGTCGATGATCATGTGACCAATGATTTGGGATCAGAGATCAGATATGTCGATGATCATGTGACCAATGATTTGGGATCAGAGATCAGGACATGCTGTTGATCATGTGGCCAAGTCACGGTTGCCATTTGCACTGCAGAGACACAAGATCCATGCTACAACTCCCCTCCCCCATCACCCGTGTATGAGATATTCTGTAGATTGGTATCAGTTCACTTACCAGTCTGTGACCACAATATCCGGTTGATATGTGTCCATGACTTCAGCACTGTACCCGGCCTCCTTCAGGTCAATGTCCTGAGACTTCTTGCATAAGCTGGAATTTAATAATTAAATGTATTTAATATAAACATGC